CTCGTTTTTTTTTTTTTTTTGTAATCTTAGCTTTGCTACAGACTTTCAGCAATTAATAAAAATGTAAATGTGATCGATGTTTTTTAAATGAATTTTAGTCAGTGTTCTCTGCTGAACTACACAACTATTTGTAAACAACTTCTTAAGAGTAATTTGGTAATAATAAATGTACATGTTTTTTGTTTTTGAAAAGTTTTAGTGAATGATATTGATGAATTTTAAGTATTAATTACAAAGCACACATGATTTTTATATAGAATAATTTGTTGATTTAATGTCAAGGCAAAAAATGAAATGAAGTACTAATTTTTTGAATATTTTATAATTTATCATGTTGATTTAATGACAAGACAAGAAATGAAATAAAATACTAATTTTTTAAAATAGTTTTATAAGTTATCAAAATATCGAGATACATATCGTTCGTCCCAATATATCGAGATATGTATCTACGCAAGATCTGTGTATCGTCCCACCCCTATAAAATTTTGACATTGTACTCCACAGCATGCTGGTGTACAAGAACTCTTTGTGCAATGTAAAAACAATTGAGCTATTTTTCCCTCTCTATGGTGTGTCAAATGAGAGCAATTAATACACTTTTGATTTTTTTAAAAAAGTGATGCCCACACAAATTGATTTCTATGAATTCATATTATCTTTTTTCTTCTATGTAAATCCCAAGAAATTCACATTTTTTAAGATTATCTACACCAAGTAAGAAGTTGATAATATTGTATGAAATAAAAAGAAAAATAGAACATTAAATTCTGAGGAAACAAGACACATGTACTATTCAAACATAAGTTTTAATCTTTTTAGATAAGGATGATTAAGCTATTTAACTTCAACAATTTAAAGGGTCAAAACAAAAACTGTCATGTTGAATATGTAAACCTTTCCATGACATATATTTTAATTGGAGAAATGCACACAACAGAACAAATGAGGATATGTATACATATATTTTATTAGTCTAATCTATCAGATACCAGTAATTAAATGCATGACATTAAAACAAATTACTAGTACTCCTATATATTGAACCAGTTGGTCATATTAGTAACTTGCAGATTTAAAATTTTAGCAAGTTTTTAATATTTGTAAAGAAATCTGAGGATAGAAAAACACATGGGAACATAAATGTAGACAGGGTTGTCCCTAAAAATGAAAAAGCAGGGGGCATTAAAACAGTAAAAGAGGTCTGGGGCTCCACCCCTTACAGGTGTTGATGGGGATCCAAAAAATGGGGGGTTCCATCATTTAAGGTGGGGAAATTTCCCCCAAATCCCGGGTCCTAGGGACAACCCTTGGTATAAGAGGCCCCACTTTATACCGAATCATGGATATATCATAAACAAGCTTCAGTACCTGCAGGTGAGTATATGTTATCTTTGTCATCGTCTGGCACACTATTCCCTTCCTCTGCATTCCGGTAAAATTTTTCATTTGGCTGACCGTGTGTTCCTAAATATAGAAAGTATCAAGAAATTACAGCAACTATGCTGTAATTAAAATGTGTACATAAACATTTTGAGGATCAATTCATTTTTTTCAGTACATTAATTTTTTATATTTTTTATTGATCATGGTAATGAATGATATTAAATTCACAAACTTTCACAACAAATTTTTGTTAAAAAAATATGATTGTACTAATATATGTGTTATTATTGTGGTAAAGTAAAAGCAGTTTTATACACGGTAGAAACACTTCATTGGGATCAATTTTTGTTGTCATCTAAAACAGTTTTGTGGGAATTAAATTTCATCATTTCAAAATTAACCCTATTCAATATATATTTATGTGAACATTTCATGTGGGATTTAATTTCATTGATTATTGTTAGCAACAAAATAAACAAAATATAATGATTATAATCCCAAACAAAATTTTTTGTTTTTAAGTATCCCTTTTAAAGTAGTATCTTTTTCTTTTGGCGGGCTTTAAAATCCAGAACCATGTCTCAATCCACGTAATGATAAATGATGCTAATAAAAGAATATAACTCAGAGGGTTCTCAGGTTTACCAGCATGGCTGAACTGAAAGATAACAACAAATGGAATGATTTTATGTACAAACTAATATGCATTTTTAGTTTTCAGGTGGCAGAGGATAGTTTTTTTTGCAATAAAACTTTACTGACGGTTTACTTAATATTGAGCTGCTTTAAAAATGTGCATTAAAAAATTTTTAAAATTCCCCTTTACATGTAATAACAGTATGAAGTAGTCCCTTGAGAAATTTGAAGCTTTTAGGAATAAAACATGTACAACTTACAGAATGAGCCCTAAAGATGGCGCAGGGACAATCTCAAAATTTCATGTGAATCAAGCCTATTTTCACTATTTCCCCGCAGCCGCATCTGTTTCCAGGCCCGTGCGCCTGACCTAAGCTACCACACAAATTGCAGAATAACATTTGTACATACCAATGAACAGCAAGAGATAATGGCTCAACCACCTCGTTTTCAAGTACAATTCATCCTGTGAACCCACCCCGCTTTTCTGGTGAAATACCGGTAGAGCGAGTTTTGAGCTTAGTTTCGTATTTCTTTTTATATCCCATATACAGTAGTAGTGACACTAAATGTCATATTTCAATAAAATATACAAGGCCACCAAGTCCCTCCAAATGCACCCATAAAATATTCTAGCTATAAAATTCCTTAATTCATTCAAACCTCAGGTTTCTCTTTTTTTTCTTTTTTTTACCGGTACTTTATTCAAACTATCCTCTGCCACCTTTAACTTTCAAAGTTTGTCTTGCAAGTAATAAACCTTGCTCAATTCAAAAAGAACATGCAATTCTAGTAAAAATATACCAAATATGTCTTGATTCATTGAAAAATAAAAAAGTTATGGCCAAATAAAAACCCTCCCAAATTTTTTGGTCAACCACCTTAACCCCATATTGTTTCTTCCACATAAAACAAATGCAATTCTTACAACTCCAGATGATAAATATACCAGAAAAAAAGTGTTAAATGGTAATTTTAATCTATTTCAAATACATTTATATGTAAAAAGTCAAATATAAAGGGCACATTTTGGTGAAATGTACTCACAGTTACATACTCCCCTTTTTTTCATGTTCTATGAAATTCCTTTTTATCTCATTTTCACTTGGATTTATATACCTATAACTTCTTTGCAAAGTTAAAACCCCTTTCAACTTTCAAGATATTTATCATGATATGCAAAAAACCCTCTTGCATCATATGCAAAAGAAAAAGTGTCCAGGAAATGGCTGTTCAACACCCTACCCCTGCAGCCATTTCTTCAGTGTAATGAAAATGCACTGTAAAATTTTGTTTGTCCTAGCTGAATTCTTTCTAAGTGTCTGATATTCACTGTTAACAATTATGAGTAATCAAATACATACATTTCATTCTCCTGAATACAAAAAGTGATTATTCTGTCCACCCTGGGCAATTGTGGGCAGATTATATGGGCCTAGCAAATTCAATAATTACATGAAAATGCACATTTTATTGATATTACTTATTAAATATGCAACATAAACTCTTTGTTTTGTTATTTTTAAAGAAAAATAGTCATTTTTTAGCAAACCTTGAAAAATTTAGATTCTGTCACATTTAAATATAGATAAATTTAAAAATTGAAAAGGGGGGGGGCATATTTAGAAAATATCAATAACAAATAGGTTAAATTTGGAAAAATAAAGCAAAAAAAGTTTTTTTTTTACTATATATGGTTAGGTTTAGTGACATTTAGGTATGCTACTGATTTTTATTTTCAAAATAATTATATTTAGTAAATTAGGGTTTAAAAAATGGCAAATATATGTAATTTCAGTGATATTGCACTAATTAATACACTTAAATTTTAATTAGATTTAATTAATTAAAGCAAGACATGATTTTAATTATGGACAATACCCAAAGTATCAAATTCAAACAATTAATTTATTCTTGGAAAAAATGCCTGAATCTTATATGATTTATTATGCTGATGGTTAAAGTCTTTAAAAATGTATGCTGGAAAAATCCCCCCTTGCTTTTTTGTGAATATACCTATCTGTACAGATTTTAAATAACAGAAACAAAGTATTTTTTAAATTGACTTACATAAATAAACCTTTTTGTCTAAAAATCAGACTAAAATTCACAGTTCTAAAAATTGATGCATTCTTGAAGGTGGCAGATGATAGTTTTTTTTGCAATCATAACGTTTGACTGACGGTTTACTTAATATTGAGCTGCTTTAAAATTGTGCATTGAAAAATTTTAAATTCCCTCTACATGTAATAACAGTATGAAGTAGTCCCTTGAGAAATTTGAAGCTTTTAGGAATAAAACATTAAACTTACAGAATGAGCCCTAAAGATGGCGCAGGGACAATTCAAAATTTCATGTGAATCAAGCCTATTTTCACTTTTCGCCGCAGCCGCATCTGCTTCCAGGCCCGTGCGCCTGACCTAAGCTACCACACAAATTGCAGAATAACATTTGTACATACCAATGAACAGCAAGAGATAATGGCTCAACCACCTCGTTTTCAAGCTACAATTCATCCTGTGAACCCCCCCCGCTTTTCTGGTGAAATACCGGTAGAGCGAGTTTTGAGCTTAGTTTCGTATTTCTAGTCCATATCCCATATACAGTAGTAGTGACACTAAAGTGTCATATTTTAATAAAATATACAAGGCCACCAAATCCCTCCAAATGCACCCATAAAATATTCTGCCTATAAAATTACCTATAATATACATTCAAACCTTAGGTTTCTCTATTTTTTCTAATTTTTGACCGGTACTTTATTCGAAACTTCCTCTGCCACCTTCATACGTTTTGCTGCAAGTAAAATATGTGTGGATGCGGTGGTAAAAGGTTCATTGTATTTGTTTTTTTTATCAATTATACTTGTAATTATTGTATTAATGTACATGAATGAAATCTTCATCAATATTCAATTTTATTTCTTTAATGTTTGCTGATTTTATCAAATATGCAATAAATGTAATCATTTTGGGTAATAAATTATATACATACCTCAAATAAAAATACTTTGGCAATCAAAAATATACAAGTTAATGATGTGGATATCTGTAAAATAAATATATGTGAGAAATCTTTAATTTAATTACCTTGTGATTTTATCATCACAAAAGATCAAAAGTTATCTCATATGTAAACAGTAGCATCAGAGATATTAAATTTTCTATCTATTTGTATAATGGTACAAATTTTGTCTATCCATACTAAGTAAGATACTATCAATTAAACTAAACATGGTATGCTCTACACTGTTTGCAGTACTTTTTTTTATTAGGTAAACAATACTTTTTAAGTACACATATAAAATTATTAATAGCCCCCCTGAGAAGCTTCAGTTTTCACCAATGTACACAAATATATGTATATTAACATGTACACTTGGTACACCTGCACTAAAAAAAATTGTTTTTCTTATCTCCACACACTCATGAAGTTAAAACATTACTTCATCTATACGAAAGTGAGGAAAAAGACCAATAAAATTATTAATATAATTTAGGGAAATACTGTTCTGTTTTATGGGACAAATCTACTATTATAAGTATAATAATAATCTATCAATGCACCTACAATAAGTCTTCTATAAAGTAATGAAGATACTTATTAACAAACCAGCTGTATTAAGCCTACTATAAAGTACTGTCAGATGAAATTTTATAAAAGTAAATTTACTATAAATTAATTAAGATATTTCAACAATGAGCCTACTTTAAATACTGAAAATACTTGAAGCAAGTAGGCTCTTGAAGTATTGAAGATCATGAACTTAAAGAATAAGTGGACTACATGTATAAATAAAGTGCCACCCACAGCATGATCCCCTCAAAAAATTACAATTATCTTAAACAATTAAAAGTCAAGAAAATCATGTCAACCTTGATTTTAAGTTTTTCCATGATTTTCGACTCCTTAAAAAATGTGTTTATCCATCTCCTGTGGTGTAGGCATTAATTATAACATATATGCATCATTCATAGATTTCTATACTGGTTGTTTTAGACCTTGCCAAATGCCTATCATATTAAACAATATCAAATTAGTTTAACAACTTAATCTATCCTAATTAATTTTGAAAATAAAAGGCTGGCCATCAAATATAAACTGACCAACAGTTCTTCTGTCTAATTCCCAAAGGATGCACTGTCAGTTAATTAAGATAATGCTTAAAGAAATGATTGAGACAACTATAGCCTTGACACTGAACACATTAATTAATCTTTAACTGGATGCTTGTCTACTCATTACTCCCAAGAGATTATTGGATCTGCACTATCTACCATAAAGCATTTTTAAAACATATAAAACCTCAATGATTTTTTTGTTAGATTTAATGGCAGACAGGTTTTAATATGCAATTCATATGGACATGCTGATTCCACCCCCCCCCCATAAAATTATTTTTTTAAAGTTCATAATATTATGTAATATCAAAATAGTTTATTATGCAAAATCAAATTAGTTTTATTTACGTCTCATCAAATTCATTTTAAAACTTATGCTAGCCAACAAGGCTTTTTTAAACCAAAGGGTACCCATTTGACCCAATACTCAAGGGATATAGATAGCATCGATGCTCTCCCTCACACTAAACTCATTAATTTCTTAATTTGACATGCAATTTTCTGTTATCAAAATTCTTCTTGACCAGTGCTTGATAATTAAAATCATGGGAGTGGTGGAATTTCTTTAAAACATTACATTTGTTATAGATTGCTGTCAAGTATATCTTAAAAAAATAAGTATTTTCTTGATTTAACATTTTTCTAATAAGAATAGTGCAATACTTTTACATTTTTTGGGGTGTGTAAATGAAGAGAAAACAAGACATTTTTTTTTTTAAAATTTTACTTAAATTAAAGGTCACAGTGACCTTGAAATAGGGGCGAACACCCTCTACCTAAGTGCATGAAGTGGCCAAGTTTGATGATTCTAAATCTAATAGTTTTCTAGTTATGGACCGGACAGGATTTTTCCATATTTGGCTATAACTTTTTAATTATAGGTCAGACGACCATTTTTGTGTGCGACACACCTTCTACCCAAGATGTATGCTGACAAAGTTTGATAACTCTAGGCCTTATAGTATTCAAGTTATAGCCACACGGGCTAACAACGGCGGGCAAGGGACGCGGGCAGCAGACGGACATAAGCCTATAACATAAACGTCCCGTCTTAAGACGGGCGTATAAATAGCAATACTGAGGTACTTACTGCAATAAGCCACCAATGATTTAGTCTAAACAATCGTACCCCGCTCAATCAAAACAAAAGAATCCGCTACCATCTACAATATGTAAGGAAAAGAATTAAGGGCTGCATATAGAATGTATTTAAAAGAAGATATTATATGTAAAAAAAATTTCCCTTGTAGTTTAAATTTCTGGAATATTTTAATAACTAAAAGCTATAAAATAACTTACAACTGTGTCAAACAGGAGTTTTAAAAATAATTACAACCTGCTGTTCAAATGCCTCCCAAACAGTTTCTGAACCTGTAAACTAAAAAAAAACGGTAGTTTTAAACTTTTTTTTATTTTAATGGAGTTTTTTTTTTTCTAAATTGACAAATAAAAAAAAAAAAATAAAACATACTGTATGTACACATATACTTAACAGTACTGAAAATAATATTTTATTCGCAAGAACTTATTTTTGTGTAATTACATGAGAAATTTCCGAAAATTTCAATCTCACTTAAAATAGTATTCCTTAAGATTTTATAGAGCAATATATAACCAGAGGACAACTAAAAAAAATTTTATTACACATATTTTTGCATTCACTTTATCATTACTGTACACCAACTTTTATTCGCGACAACTTTATTTCGCGATTTTGAGGTTTAAAATATTTGCGACGATTAATTTTCGTGATCAAGCCTTTTTTATCTGTTGTTAAAAACATGAGACCTTAAGGCTGATTTATGGCGAGAAATTGGTTTACAGTATATATGCATAGGATACAATAAAACAAAAATAAATTCATCACATAATGATATTGGTAATGGTACTATGAACTTTCCCCTTACCGAGTATAATCCCCATAATTAAAGGCAAAACACAGATCAAAGAGAGCCAGGAGACAGAAGGTTCTCGGAGATGAAATGGTGGAGCAGTGAATGGGGTGAGTTAATTCGCTCGGGTCCGTAAAAAAGTGTCGTTATTTCCCACTCTGAAAAATAGTATTTAATTGTTATTTTTCAGCATTTTTTTTAAAACCAACAGAATATATAACAACAATTTTTTTATTGCATAATTTTTTTTTTTTTTTTAGAAATTGTTTTCTCTGTCCCTGCAAGGTAGGACATAAAATGTAGTAGACACAATGAATTTAAAATTTTTGCAGAAACTTCCTATAAATTCATTTTTCAGCACTGGCTGAATAGTACTTTAAATCTTAAAGTTACTGTACTATATGCAGTTCAACTTATTGTATACAGGCCACATGCAGGCACTTGTTTTGTAACGGGGTGCCCCTACTAGTTAGGGGTGTACCATATACGAAACAAATGCCTGTGATACAGGTACATGGTACATGTATAATATGTGTAATATTTAACATATCAATAAAGTCACAAAACAAGGATATACATAGATTGTGGTTTAACTTTGCTATAATCTTTAAATATAGTTGTATACAATTATACATAAGTACTTGCTATACTTAGTATACTAATTTTGGGGGAGACTAATTCATATCAAACCGTTCTTTTTTTAAATCTATCATGTAAGCATACAGTTCATAAACATAGGATATTCAAATAAGTAATAATATTTATTACATGTAATACAAGGTGTAAAATAAACACCTGTCCAATAGTCAGAATTTATAAATACATACATTTCTCATGCTGATCAGACTACTTTGACAACAGAATTAGCAGAATTACAAAATCTTACCCATTTCAGACAGCTTTTAAATTGAAACTGAACAAAATAAGCATCAAAATACTGTAAAGGTATAATATTTTGTGTATTCTATTTAGCGTCTTTCGCAGAAAGTATCATCTGCTAAATCAAGTACATCGCTAAATGTTTTGTTTACATATATTCATATAAAGCCCATTAAAAGCACTAATTCAAATCTAGGTTAACTTGATTAAGTTTTTATAATTTCCGCCAAATATTGTATATGCCAAATGAAATACATTTACAGTTTTTGCAAAAATAATTTTGTATTGTATTAAATTCTTCATAAGTTCTATTGCTGATTTGTGAATGAACAAATTTGTGTATATTTAATCTCAAGGTCTGCGGACACAGCATATTTCATGTTTATGTACTTACATCCCTTGGAGTGGTTTTATGATTAGAATTGCTATAGATTGTTTGGTGGTGGGGGGGGGGGGTATCCTGCTTTTGCCTCTAAAATGTTAGTGCATATAAATACTCCTTTCATTGATATAATTTCTTCTTATTTCCTTTTGGGGGAATTTTTTCTTTTTCATACTTGTGGCTGTAACCCTAAATGTCTTATTACAAACAAGATAGCCCAATCCACTATTGCATTTTGTGGAGTAAATTTGCAGTAGGAAGTTAATTACAAAAAAATGACCATCATCAAATTAACATATAATAGGGTATAGCTCTGATACATAAAATTCCTATGTGGAAACTTTTTTTCAGAGCATTGCATTACTTCCTCAATGTATCAAATAAAAGCCTTGAGGTACCTACATTTGTACATTTCTGATTGTTGAAAAGAGAAAGGTGTCAATCACTCCTCAAAAAAGCACTTGCATGTGCCTTCCTGTATAAGTTTACTGACTATTAACCACATGTTATCTGATTTTGATGTTCATTTCAGTATATATAAAACTGTACATCATGTACATGCACCTCTTAAAAGTGTTTAAAATTTTTTCCAGTTTCTTTGTTTCAAATGCATACATAAAAAAAAACTTCATACATTTGAGTAAAAAATTTGTCATTGAGGCATATGTTTAATATAATGTACACTAGTATCACACTATTTTTTTGTGAAAATTTATTTCCATAGAAATACTGTATAGGGATGGGTATCGCCAAAAAATTTTGTATCGCGATATATCAGATTTTTTCCACAATATCACGATAATATCATGATATTTTTAAATGCAGTTTTTACCATGATTTTATATGAAAAGTCATTATTTTTCTAAAAAGTATAGAAAAACAAAATTTTTTTTCTTGAAATTTTTATGTATAAAAAATCAGTTATGTTTGGACGTTAAGATGCCGTTCTTTTCACCTTTAAGAACATTTTTTTTTTTTCTCAATTGAAATGTGAAAGATTTAATGAATAAATGAATAGTTTCTGGACTTTATAGTAAATTAAAACCTATTTAGGTTCCGTATCATGATACGTATCACGCAAAAAAAATCGCGATATACCGGTATACCGATAAAATCGCACATCCT